AGGCGCGAGCAATCGGCTACCGAGCAGCGGGCGGGGCGGAGCCTGTTCCTCCCTTGGCTCCGCGCACCTGGGCGCTGGACACACCTGAGGCTGCTGCGGGTCGCTGTACGGTGAGTCGAGCACTGCACGTGCTCGGGTAGCCGGGAGTGCTTGCGCCTATGGGGCTCTGAGGCCAGGACTTAAGGGCCTTCGCCGGACCCAGCAGGTGGAATTACCCAGCGCAAGGCTAGCGTGCTGCGTTCTCTCCTCACCCAGCTAATCCTTTGTGCTTTTTACAAGATAGGAAAAAATGAGCTCTGCTATTTCCCCGGCGGGTTCATTATCATCCTGATGCTTTTATTTTAATATAAACTACAGTCTCTCTGATAAACTTGGGACCCATTCCCTTTCCAGGTTATCATTGCCTTATTTTTAATCCGAGCTGGTTTTCTCTGATCTGGAGTAAAGCTTGCGCTTTTTTCCTCCCTACAACCAAACTGACCTGTGACCTAAATTGAGAATAAATTCCTGCGAAAACATGGGATAAAAGTATTTAGAGGCATCTTCCTGATCGAAGTTTCGGTTTTTTTGTTTTTGTTTTTTTGACGTATTGGGGATGGAACTCAGGACCTTGCTTGTGAGGCAGGTGCGTGCCACTGGGCTAAATCCTTGGCCCTCTGACTGTATTTTCCAATGTAGTGTATGGTAGTTTGAGAGCTTTTGGCTGGGGGTGTTGCTCAGTGCAAGAGCACTTGGCTACCATGTGTAAGGCCCAGCCTTACACACGCACACGCACACTCACACTGATTTATAGTTGTGTTGCTGAAGGTCATAACCATCTCATAAGAAAACTGGCTGTTCTATATTAGGGGCAAGTGGACAAATAGCAGAAGTTTCTGTTTTTGAATATGGACGTAGACCTCTCCATTTTCTTGTTAGAAATACGAGTTTCTGCTAAGTTAGTAAAGCAAAACTAGCTGATATCAGAACTGAAACAAAGTGTTAAGGATGGGACTGAGGAAGAAGCCACCGTTTGTTTGTTTGTTTGTTTGTTGAGACAGGGTCTCACTATGTATTCCAGGCTGGCCTTGAGCTTATTGTATAGCTGGGCCTAGCCTCACACTCAGGTGATCCTCCTGCCTCAGCCTCCTGAGTGCTGGGATTACAGTGCTGAGTCACTGTGCCCAGCCCACCAAAATATTTATAACTCTGGTTTTTTCTCTACTAGGAAGAAGTCCCCAAACAGACAACTTGTTATAGGAGTTCACAGAAAATACTGAAATGTCAGGTTCCACGGCATTTAAGATGAGACTAGTTCATTTGGACTTTAAAGGAGCTCCACCAAAGATTTCATACCTGTCGGAGGTAAGAACTTCCTTTTGCCTCTAGAGAATCACCTTTTGCCTTGGGTTTGGGTTTTTTTTCTTTTTTTGGTACTAGGGATCAAACTCAGGTCTTTGTGCTTGTGAGGCAGGTGGCAGAACCACTCAGCTAAATCCCTGGCCCATGGATTCAGTCTTTAACATTGCCAGCAGTAATCTATGGAAGTAGGCACTTGTAACACAACCACAAGGCCCAAGGTTGGGGCAGGTGTAACAGGAGCATAGTTTATTTCATTTTTCCTGCATCCCCTCACAAAACCAGACAGAACAGCCAGGGTGGCATAAGGAACAAAAGAAAGAACAAAACAAACCACAGCCTCTTTGTTGTGGATTGAATTGTGTCCACACACACACACACACACACACACACACACACACACACACACACACACACACCAATAAAAGATAAATTCAGATCTTAACCCCTGGTACCTGCTGGTGTGGTACATGGTACCTGCCGGTATTTGGAAAGGTTTCTGTAGGTGTAAGCAAGGTGACATGAGGTGATACTGTATCACAGTGATCCTACGTAAGAAGAGGGGGATTGTGATAGAGCTGTGTAAAGGGAAGATGCCTAGAAGACCTGTTGGGAGGATACCAGTGATGACAGAAGCAGACTGGAGTGATGCAGCCACAAGCTAAGGAAACTGAGAATTAGGGCAACCTCCAAAGGCTGGGAGGGGCAAGGGAGGATCCTCACTTGGAGCCTGCAGAGGGAGTGTGCCCCATCAGCACCTGGATTTGGGACTTCTGACCTTTAGAACTGTGAGAGCAAGTTCATAGTCTTTTAAGCCACCCAGTTTGTGGTCAACAGAACTAGTAATCAGCTATCCCTGTGAATTCCAAAACTCAATAATTGGGACCATTGCCCGTGTGGGGTTAGCACCCTGGCCCAAGGCAGAGGAAAGAAAAAGGAAAATTCCAATGATGTTAATACCAAAGAACTCAGAAGATAGCCCCCAAATAGATGTCTTCCATAGCAAGAACCTGATGGAAGGTTTTACTGGCTCTAGTTTAAATGAGTTTAAAGACTCAATGGTGGGGGGCCGCTCTTCAAGGCCACAGGGCTCTCAGAAACATGTAACTTCCTAGAAGAACAGAGTCTCACAGTAAGGACAAAGCTTGGGAGAAGAATCCACATTAAACTAAGTAGGTCACCAAGGGTGAAAGAAAGACAAAGCTCAGATACCAGAGAGGGGGTTCTAGAGGATGCCGAGACCAACCAGCACGGCAGAGATGGTGACGCAGAGGCTGTACAGAAGGTGCCTGAGGGTGGTCCATCTCTACCCTGAACGTAAGAACCTTTTTTTTTTGTACCAGGGATTGAACTTGGGACCTTGTGCCTGTGAGGCAGGCGGTGGCACCATTGAGCTAAATCCCTGGCCCTTAAGAACCTATTCTTAAAAATGAACGAGTAGTGTGTGCCTGTGATCCCATCACTAAGAGGGTAGGGCAGGAGGATCACAAGACATCTTTTAGATCAAACCCAGCCAGACCCTGGGTTCACCCTCAGTACTAAAAGAAAAAGAGCCCCATGACAGGGTAGCAGTGAAGTGCACAGGGAACACAGGGCCTCAGAGAGATGAGAATATCATGATATCCAAAGGAGAGGAAAGAGACTAAGAGTGATGGAAGGTAGAAAAGACTGGAATAAATCAGAAACCAAAGTCCAGAAATGTGATGGTCAGACAAAAGGCAGATGTGAAAGAGATCCCTGTTGAGCTCATGAATACATTATGAAGAAAAAAGTTCAGGGCTGGGGATGTAGCTCAATGGCACCAGTCCTGCCTTGCAAGCGCAAGGTCCTGAGTTTGATCCCTGGTACTGGAAAAAAAAATTCAGATATAGAAACTTAAGCTAGAAGAAGCACAAAAATGACTAGACACCTGAAGAGTGCAGTATTTGGAAGTAAAGGACAAAAAAAAAAAAAAAAATCAACATGAGACTAAAAAGCACTGTGGCCATGCCTGCCTGGTACGCACACGGTCCTGAATTCAATTTCCAGTACCCGTGGGAAAAAGCACTGTGACAGCTTGGTAGGTACAAGTAATAGGCACAGAAGATCCAACATTTGTGTAACTTGGATCCTTGGTTCCATTACTGGTGTCCCCAAACTTGAGCCTTAGGACCACAGCTGGGCACCCCATGTTTCTTCAGGCTGGCTGGGTGTTTCTGCAGGTCTGAGCCAGGCACTTTCATGTGGTCACAGTCCCAGGACAGCTAGAAACCCTTGATGACCCCAGATGGCCTCACTCAAGTGTCTGGCCATTTGTGATGACTGGAAGCATCTTGGCCTCCTTGACATGTGTTCCCTGGGCAGCCAGACTTCTGGAGAACAAGGCCCTGCTGCCTCGCACTGTTGGGAAAGTAGATCCCAACGACAGCACTAGTGATTCTGTGGCTACATTTTCCGTATTCTCCTGAAGAAGACAACCAAAGCAGTAGTTCGGAACAAATGATAAGAAACTACAACTCAAAAACACCTTCTTAAAACAAAAAAAAAACTTGAATCTACACATTAAAAAAGCATAGTGTAGTGCTGGGAATGTAGCTCAGCTGTGTAGCACCTGCCTGGCAAGTGCAAGGCCCTGAGTTTGACTCCTGGAACCAGAAAAAGGAAAGAAAGAAAAAGCGTACTATGTACTTGGACTTTGTTTTGTTTTGTTTTTTGAGACAGGATCTTGCTTTGTAGTTCAGGCTGGCCCTGAACTCACTATGTAGCCCATGGGGCCTCGAACCTGCAGCCATCCTCCTGCCTCAGCCTCCCAAGTGCTGGGATTACAGGCGTGCACCACCACCCAGCTTGGAAAATTTATTTCTAATGATGTATGTGAAGATATTTTTTAGTAAATTTATCACACTTTAGGGAAATAAAATGAGAAAACTAATCTTTTGTGCATTCAGAAAAAAGTCCCAGGTCATACAAAAGGGAGAGAAAATCAAGTGGGCATCAGACATTTAGACAACAACACTTTATGACTGCAGCTAAGAGTAACAGGTTTAAGGTATGTGAAAAAATAGAACATGAATCAGATATTGTTTCCAGCCAAATCAGCCTTTGAGGGAAAAGCCACAGACCAGCTGTTACAGACGAATATAGACTGAGTAGGTTACTGAGGGGTAAGCATCAGATCACCAAGGTACGGTAAGCTACAGCAGCAGGACCCAAGTCATCAAGTATCAGCTGAGAGGAAAGTCTTCCTTAAAGAATTCCAGCTAAGGCGGGGCCAGGGAGTTAGCTCAGTGCCACTGTGCCTGCCTCACCAAGTACAAGATCCTGAGTTTGATCCTCGGTACCGAAAATAGTAATAATAATAATAAATTAAATAAAAGAATTCCAGCTAATATGCCAGACATGGTGGTACATGCTGGTAATCCAGCACTTGGGAGGCTGAAGCAGGACAATTGCCATGAGTTCTAGGCCAGCCTGGGCTATATAGTGAGTTCAAGATCAGCTTGACCTGCACAATGAGACCCTGTCTTTAAAACACAACAAAACGAAACAAAAAGAATTTCAGCTAATGGACGCAGAAGGAATGGTCATCAAAAGTCAGCACCTTAACTGTGAAAATTGAAGAAAAAAAAAGTCAGCACCTTACACAGTGAAACGCTTGCTGGGTGATAAGTCACAGCATTTGGGAAGCAGGTTCATGAGGGTGGGAGTTCTGCTGACACCTGAGCCTCAGAGCCAGCACTGCAGGCAGCACAGCCCACTGTGGGCTCTCCGTGGCCACTGGGGTATATTTCTGCCCTGAGAATGGAACTGGAATCTGCGCCAATACATAATTTTGAAAACCATACAGAATAAGTGACTTGGTTTCTTCAAGAAATAAATTTCAAATTTAAAAAAAGACAAACAGAAGGGAATGTTCTGGTTTTTGCAGTACTGGCAATTGGTACTCAGGACCTTGCCCTTGCAAGGCAGGTGTGGTGCCACTGAGCTAAATCCCTAGCTAGAGGGGACTGTTTTTAAAAATACCAAACCCGGAAAAAACGCACACAATAGAGAATGCATGGATCCGATTCAAACAAGCCAAAGAGATGGAAACATTTTTAGAAACAGGAAAGTGTTTTTGGGGGAGGGTATACCAAGAATCAAACCTGGGATGCAGGCGGCAGCACCACTGAGCTCCATCCCTGGCCCTGGAACAGGAAAATGTTTTATTGTGAATGACAATAAGGAATTATTAAGCTATGTGTTGTAGTGCACACCTTAATCCCAGTGACTCATGAGACAAAGCCAGGTGAATCACAAGTTAAAGACCAGCCTGGGAAAATTAGTGAGGCCCTGTTCTCAAAAAAAAGTAAAAGAGCTCAGGATGTAGTTCTTTGTAAATTCTTAGGTTCAATCCATAGTACCTCAAAAAACAAAAACTATTATCGATAATCTGGTTAGGATAATGACTTTCTTTCTTTTTTTTTTTCTTTTTTTTTTTTGGTTTTTTGAGACAGGGTCTCACTGTGTAATTGAGACGGACCTGGAACTCACCGTGTAGCCCCAAGCTAGTCTCAAACACGCAGCGATCCTCCTGCCTCAGCCTCCCAAGTGCTGGGATTACAGGCATGCGCCACCATGCCCAGCAGACTTGCAATTTTTTAAAAGTATCAAGTAGTGATATAAATTATTTATAGGTGAAAAAGATATCTGGAATTTGTTTTAAATACTCCCACCAGAAAGAAAAAAGGAAATTACCTGAAATAAAATTGACAAAAATGTTGGTAATGATGGCATCTGAGGCTCATTCTGTAATTTCTCTGTGTCTGTACAGTTGCCCCAGTGCAGTGTGCAGATGCAGGAAAGGCTCATGCATCTGAACTGCAGGCCTCCTGGGTCTCAGCCTCTCAGATGTGCTGCCCCATTCAGAGCTGCCTGGTGTGGTCCAAGGCCTCAATCAGGCTTTGGGGAGCTAATGAGGAGACCAGAGGCAAAAGCACCAAGAACGGTGGAAAATGCCACAGGTGGTTTTTTTGTTTTGTTTTGTTTTGTTTTGTTGTTTTATTGAGTTTATTGGAAGGTGTTGTTTTTATTTGTCCGATTGTGGATGATTGTGTTGGATTACTTTTTTCCACAACCATTTTTTTCTCATTGAATTTATTTAAGTATACAGTACAGTTATGTTCATCACTGGGGTCTTGTACCCTTACATGACAGATCTTTGTTCTCATTTTTTCCCCATACCCCTGCCCTCCCTTCACCCCCTCTCCCCTCCCCTATTTACAAAGACTTTGTTTCCATTTTTTCCTTTTCTCATATTTTTTCTTTTCCCTTATTTTCTTTCCTCTACCCCCTACTGTTTTGTTTTGTTTTATTTTTTGCGGTAGGGTCTTGCTATGTAATCTAGGCTGGCCTTGAACTCTGCTCCTCATGTCTCAGCCTCCTGAGTGCTGGGATTACAGGTATGCATCACCACACCTGGCAAGTTGGCTTCTTTTTGACTCACAATCACTTACTGATTACCCGTTTTATGAATTATCTATAGCTAATTGTTCCACACTGACTTCCTCCTTCACTTCAGCATGTTTCAGAGTTTCTTGTAGTCGAGCAAAAGAAAACTATGAGTAACACCCACACAGGGTGCCATGGGTCAAACGTGCTCACACCCTTATTTGGAGATTGCTGGCTGTTTTAAGTACCTGTACAGTCCCCTTAAGTAGTGCCAACCTTAGGCTGTTTTCTTTTCTTTTCTTCTTTTTGGTACCAGGGTTCAAACTCCAGACCTTTCGCTTGCCAGGCAGGAATGGCAGGACCATTGAGCTACATCCCAGCCCTCTTAGGCTGTTTTCTGTCCCTGGCCTTGGAGCCAGACTAGAAATTTCAGTTGTTCTGTATAGTAGACATGGACAGGTCCCAGTACCCTGGAAGATGAGAATTCCCTACCCTTGACATGGAGACAGAGGGGAAGTGGTGGGAGAAGCAGGGAGGGGCCCGAGCACTGAGCCTTCTTCCTGCTCTTCCTTCCCAGTGCTGACCCTGGTCCTGCAGAGCCCGATGGTGCCCCGGGCCTCCTTCCCAGGTCCTGGGTCCCATGCGTCAGGAGTGCACTGCCGCCAGAGCTCCTCCTCTCGGGGGAAGCTCTTCTGGGAGTGTTTCCCCTTCTCTCACCAGCCGCAGCTCCTCATCTGGCAGAGTGCAGGGTACACATTCGAGATTTGGCGTTTCCAGGAGAAGCAGGAAGAGTGGCTGCCTTCCAATTCAGAGGCTGGGGAGGAAAAGTCCCCACGCTGCTCACACACTGACTTGTGCTCCAACAGTGACATCTTCCTCACAGCCTCCCTGTCTCCCCAGATCTTTCCTCTGTTCCGTGCTCTGGGTGCGAACGGTCTCCTCATTGAGTATGAAGACATGTTTCCCTACGAGGGCCACCTGAGGCTGCTGAGGGCCTCGAACGCATACAGGTACCGCCACACATGGTGCAGATGTCACCCAGAAGCTGGCAGAGGAAGCCGAGGGGAGCCAAGGGCTCCGGGCGGGAAGGTGCATTCCAGAGATGTAGTGGGAGGGTGAGCACTCTGACTGTGGTGGGTGTGTGCCTTTTCTGTCCTCCAAAATACAAATCTGCAATTACAAAAACTGTGAACCAGGCGTGCGTGGTGGCACACACCTGTAGTCCCAGTATTCCAGGAGACTTAGGCAGGAGGATTACAAGTTCCAGCCCAGCCTGGGCAATTTAGTGAGATCCTATCCCAAAAAGTAAAAGTCTCAGGGTGTAGCTCAGTGCAAAAGCCCAGTACCACAAATAAGTAAATAAATAGATGATAAAATTAAAACACATTCACTGGAGAGAATTTCGAATCATTTTAAAAAAGGAAGAAGCATCCAGCAGCCTCTCTAGGAAGGGCGCAGTTTGCAGTTCAGCCTCCCCACCTTGGCCTGCAGTGTGAGCCTGCAGTGAGCTCACCCAGCCTGGTGCTGGGCTCCTTAAAGGGCAGGTCGAGGGGCGGGATCCACAGGGGCCAACCAAGGTGTTTGCAGCTTCTCAGGACAGCTCCTTCACGCTAGCCAATCACAGATGCCCAAAGGAAAAAGGGTGGAGGGCGGGAGCAGGCAGAATCCTTTCTCCTGAAACAGAAATCCAAGGGGCCAATAAGCAAATGAGGGAACAGCGCAGCTCTCACTGAAATAATTGCAGTGCTGTTTGGGCCACTGGTTGGTGAAGCTTCTGCCAAAATTCTGCTGCTCTGGTGGTAAGGTTGGCAGGGGTGGGATAGCCTGGCCCTGGTGTGTGAGTTCTCCAGCCCTCCTGGCCTCTCAGTGTGGTGGGAAGGCCAAGCAGCAGATACAGCGGAGTGAGCCTCGGTGGAGCTTTAGATGGTGCCCCTGCTTTGTCTGCTCCTCTCTGATTTTTCTAACAGCAAGCTTCAAATAGGGATAGAGTGAAAACAACTTTCTATGAATAATATATAAAGCTAAAAGGTGGCCCATACACAGCTCTTACCTAGAAATAGTTTTGCTTTTTAGTTAAGTTCGCAAGTGGTGATGTATGGAGCTGTCGCAGATATGAGCAGCGCAGCCCTTCTGGCCTGAGGCCTGTGCTCGGGTCAAGGGCTGCGAGAAAGCCACTGAGAAGGGACTTGCCCCCCGCCCCAGCTTGTGCCCCTGTGCAGGCCAGGATTGTGTAAAATGCAGATACCTGGAGAGCACCTCAGATCCGAGAGCTGCCTTCCCTAAAACCTGGAGTCTGAGGAGCGAGGGGCTTACCCTTGTCCAGGAGGCCCCAGGCCTGGCGAGCAAGTACTGGTGAGGGGGGACCTGCTGCGCACTGGCACACATCTTAGCGTGGTCTTTGTCTCCCTAGCCCCTCTGAAGTCACAGAAATACTGCGTCTGGCCAGGCTCAGTGAGCTGGAGGTCGTTCCCCTGGTGCAGACATTTGGACACATGGAGGTGAGGGGTGGGTGGGTGGGGCCGGGGCCAGGCTTATTCCCAGGCATCCAGCTGGGCCCTGCAAGGAGGCCACTGCACTTGGAAGCGCTGCTCCCACTTCCCCCTCCTAAGCCTAAGAGCACACACTCCATGTCCAGCAGCCTCTGGAGGGCCTTCTGTTTTCCTTTTTTTTCCCAGTACCCATGATCAAAGACCTTGCAGTTGCGAGGCAGGCATGGTACCACTGAGCTATATCCCTGGCCCTTCCATTTTCTGGTTTGGTTTTGTTTTTCCCATTTTGTGTTTGAAAAAAAATTCAAAAGTATTTTTCATGGCTTGGGAGGCTGAGACAAGGAGGTCATGTCTTAGTTTCTCTCATTGCCCGCAACACCCAGCAGTGCACAGTACAGTTACACACAGTACCCAGTACCCACAATTGAGAGGAGGCTCACATTTGCCGTCTGTGGTCAGCTGGTCCAGGGCAGGAACGTCCTGGGAGAGACATAGCGGAGGAGAACTTTAATGTCACAGCAGCCGGGAAGCAGAGGAAAGGGAGCTGGACCCTTCTGGGCCACACCCCCTGTGACTTACCTCTTCCAACTAGGACCAGCTCCTAACAGCAGGTCAGCTGTGTCTCCATCCCAAAGTGATACCTGTGAACGCACGCCTCTCTAGATACAAACCATGATCTGTTGCATATCAAGGCCAGCCTGGACTACATAGCATGACCTTGTCTCAACAGATCTACACCAAAGAATTGGGAAACAAAACCAATGTTGTTAATGTTTAGTGGCTCTTAGGTTACACATATTCCTCTAACAAATACTGTACTCCCTTAGATACCAGCTGCTCTTCTACTTCCTGATTTGGTTTACACACTCATGAGAAGGGTGCTTTTACTCAGAACCTCAGGATCCACTGTGCCTGCCCTTGAGTTCTCAGCATGCCTTTTGAAACCCTCCCAAAATTCAGTCCACCTAGATTTTCTAGTAGGTTTTCCCTGCTACACATTCTGAGCCTGACTCACTTTCTCGGACTTGCAGCACCAGTACCCTTCATGTCACCAAATCAGTGACAGACTTAGGTCCTTTGACCCGACTGTTGAACCCTGTGTCATCACTGAACCCTTTCCCAGGCCCACAGTGCCCTGGTTTCAGGCTCCTGGCTGCATCTTCCTGTGCTCATCAAAGTCTGCCTCCTCTAGATGGCATTAGGGGACCAGGAAGAGGGTCCTCCCGGCAAGTCCATCCCCTTTGGCAGTGAAGCTGCTGGGTTTTGCAGCTAGGGGACCCTGAGCAGGAGAGCAGGGAGCAGCCTTTGTCAAGAACATTGCTGTGGCTACTCAGAGGTAACCATTTTTCAACTGATGTCCACCTGTAGCTGACTTGCAGAGCCCTGAGTGGCTGTTTTCATTTTTTGTTTTTGTTTTGGAAAGAATTTGCCAACCTTTTCATGCCAAGGTGGCCAGAAGAGTGCTCACCCCAAATCCTGAAAGTGGATCAAACCTCCTGTCTTTTCAGTGTGTCACTCACTCAGTTAGAAACGGGGGGAGTAGCTTAGTGGCACCACACCTGCCTCACAAGCACAAGGTCCTAAGTTTGATCCCCGGTACCAAAAATAAAAGAGAATGGGGAGGGGGAAGGCCTTGGAGAGACTAGCAGGAAGCAGGTTTGGAAGTTGCTGCCTGCTGTGCTGCAGACCTGGGAGTGGGGAACCAGACAGCCCCATGGCCTGGCAGGCAACAAACTGTCACAGTGGGTGGTGGGAGGCAGGAGCCAGGATCCCTTACTAAGCCTCGCCGCCGAGCACAAGCACCGGTCACCTCCCTCTGGAGCTCCCCACCCCACCTGTCTCCTTTCAGTTCGTGCTGAAGCACCCCGCATTCTCGCACCTCCGGGAAGTGGCACTCTTCCCCAACACTTTGAACCCTCATGAGGCAGAGTCCCTGGCACTGGTGAGCGCCATGATCGACCAGGTCCTGGGGCTGCACGAAGGTGCCCTCTGGCTCCACATCGGGTGTGATGAGGTAGGTGCCTTCATCCCAAAGTCTGTGGCAGCCTCTCCTTCAAGGCCACCTTCTACCGCACTGGAGGTTCTTGTAGGAGCACAGTCCAAGTGCCAGAGAACACAGCCTGGCCAAGGAGGTAGCCTGTCCCTTCCAGCTCCTGGGGAGGATCATGGCCTGGAGTGGGGAAGGGGCCACAGAGCCTGAGCAGGGCACCTGTGTCAGACGAGGTCACCACCTGCCAGGACTCCCAGGCCCAGAAACAGCTGTGCTGCCCCCCAGGGACAGAGCCAACCTGTCATGCACACGCCAGGCCCTCAGGATTTTGTTCCAATCAGAGAAATGCAATTTAGGTGGCGATGGGGTGGTGCGTGACTCTTAGACCCTAAAATGCTCCATTGGAGAGGTGATCCCTGGGGTGCCAAGCAGTGACCCCAGCCCCCACCGACCTCCCTGTTTCTGCCTGGCTGCTTGGCTCCAGGTGGCTGGCAGGACTTAGAGATGTAGAGCCAAGCCTCTGCAGGCTGTGGCCTGCTGGAGCCTGAGCTAGGCCTGCATCTGCTAGTCAGCCCAGGGTTCCCTTTTTGAAAAGAAATTTGTGTGTGTGTACACCTTAGTAGCTCTCCGCATATTTGGGGTGCTTTATGACCCTCATCACTGTCCCTGCAAGTCCTCCTTTACCTGGGAAGACCCTGCCGCAGTCCCCCCAGCCCCCGCCCTCTCTGCACCTGCCTGGTCTGAACATTTCACTTCACTGGAATCACAATGTGTGGCCTTCTGTTTCTGACTTCTTCACTCAGTGAATGTGTGCGGGGCAAGGTTCGTCTGTGTTGTAGCGTACTAGGGAGGTGAAAGTCTGTCCACTCCTCTGAGCTGAGAGTTGGGGGTCCTGAGCCCCTCCTTGGCCTCCTCTCCACACTCAACCGCCCTGAGACTCAGTACACAGTGTGGGGGCTGACACCAGGTGAGCCATCCACCTCTTCCTGCAGGTCTACTACCTGGGCGAAGGGGAGGCCTCTAAACAGTGGCTGCAGCAGGAGCAGAACAGCCAGGCCAAGCTGTGTCTTTCCCACATCCGGGCGGTGGCCAGCCACGTGCTGAGCCTTAACCACAGCACAACGCCCCTGGTGTGGGACGACATGCTGCGGGACATTCCCCAGGACCAGCTCGCAGGTGGGCCTCCTGGGGCCAGGGGTGGGGCTGCTGCCACGTGCCTGAGACCTCCATCCTCAGGGTTCTAGGTCAGAGCTGCTCTTCTGTGTGCATGGGAAAGCCAGGTTCATGTCACTTAGGCAGTTGAGGGTCTTGTGGGATGTGGGCCAGCGGGCAGGCCGGCAGGAGTGTTGGTACTCGGCAGCCTCACCCTGTGCTCTTTGTGGCCGCCCTGACGGATTAGGGGAGTGTCCAGGGCCTTCGGAGCATTGGCAGATGCGCTGGCTCTGGGAGCCCAGTCATTTCCAAAGCGAACAGCGTCCTCTGTGACGACACCGTGTAATGCAGTGTCTAGCCTTTGCCTAAAACTCAGACGGTCTGTTCCACCGTCATGCCAAGAGTGGGGGGCTGAGGGTATGGCCTGGATGGTGGCTCCGCATTTACATCCTTGCCCTGTTCTCAGCCTCCGGGGTACCGCAGCTGGTGGAGCCTGTGCTCTGGGACTACAGTGCCGACCTGGATGTCCACAGCAAGGGTCAGTGCCAGGCTGCCCAGGATGCGCCGGTCAAGGCCTGTGTGCCTAGATGGTCTGTTCCCCAGCCCCAGGCCCTATGACCTAGACTGCCCAGCCTGTGGGTGCAGGCACAGCTGCTGCCCTCCTCTGCCCCCTCCACCGCAGACCCCACTCAGGATTGGGCAACCCAGCGGGATGCTTCTGCTCTTTCCCATTTTCTAGGACATTTTCCTAGTGAGCCACTGAACTAGGGTCTGCTTATGAGAAGCTGAACTCTCCTCCATGAGATGTCAGCTAGGGCTAAGACGAGTGTGTGACCTGGGCACGCGTATTCTGGGCCTCACGAAGGCTGTCTCCACAGAGCCACTCACCTGCCTGCTTTCCACCCAGTCCTCCTGATGGAAAAGTACCGGGAGTGCGGCTTTCCGCGGCTGTGGGCAGCCAGCGCCTTCAAGGGGGCCACAGGGGCAAGCCAGGCCCTGCCGCCCATCCAGCACCACCTCAGGAACCATGCGCAGTGGCTACAGGTGGCAGGCAGTGGGCCAGCAGACGCACTGCAGGGCATCATTCTGACCGGCTGGCAGAGGTGAGTGCATGGGAGGCCAGCCCTGGGGCTGGGAGGCAGCTCCCCAGCCTGCCCACTGCCTGTGCAGAGTAGGCCTCAGGGTATCGGAGTAGGGCCCAAAGTCTGTCAAGCATCACTGCTGTGTGCTCCACGCCAGGACTGGCATATCTCACATGGGCCACTACAGGACACAAAGATGGACGTGGGTCTTCCACACTCTGCCTCCTGGGAAAGTAGGGCAGCATGTATATCCCTGTTCTAGGCCCACCCTGGCCTCAGTGCTGACCTGTGTATGGGCTGGGCGGAGGCCAGGTTTGCTCCCCAGTGGAGCAGTGGTGGCAGGACCTGGGGGACCATCCCCAGGGGCCATCAGGGACTCCAGGATGCGACTGTAGGGTGTGGTTGTCATGTGGGGCCAGCTCACAGCTCCAGGGCATATCCAGCGGCAGCAGCTGGCTGGCTCTGCAGAAGCTTCTAGGTGGCTCTTGCTGTCTGCCACCATGGAGATTCCCCGAGCATCCACTGTGCAGCCTGGGGCGCACTGGGTCTGGGTTATGCTGGCACTGCCCCATGGAGCAGAGCTCTTCTGTGCATACACAGGGGCCAGAGCCCACTAGAGTTTGACTTTGGCACGACCATGCCTGTCCTTCTGCCTGTCCTTGCTGGCCGCACCTGCAGCCACATCTACCCCCACCCCACCTGCAGCTGAGGAAACTGAGCTTTGAGCAGGTGGAGACACCCCGCCTGACCTGTCATCTTCCTCATGGGGCCTTGGGGAGAAGTAGGGCTCACGGGCACAGCCCCAGGAGACAGAGGGCAATGCTGGAGGAGGGATGTGTGGAGCACAGGGAATTGTTGTGGGCCACATATGAAACATACATCATAGCTAATGTGTGTAAGTGACAAGACTTCCTTTTCAAAAACATAACACAGGCATGTACAACCTGCAGCCTGGGCCTGGACACACCTGCCACTGGGGCCCAGCACAGGACACCCTGGGTTACAATGCCTTGCTTGGGCTGGGCTGGCCGAGGGCAGCACATTGAGCCGCCCCTCTTTGGGCACAGGTACGACCACTTCTCTGTGCTCTGCGAGCTGCTCCCCGTGGGCATCCCATCCCTGGCCGCCTGTCTGCAGTTGCTGCTCTGTGGTACGTCTGTCCCTGACCATGGCCCACCTCCGGGTTGGACCTCAGTCCTCATCACAGGTCAGCTGCACTGAGGAGGACCCTAGCACAGCCTGGCACAGCCCAGCCACCCACCCACCATTGGCCCAGGCCTGCCCACACCCAGGTCTTCAAGGCCAGCCGGAGAGTTAGAAGGCAGACTCACTGAACCTGACCTGAAATTCATGCCTCCTGGGGTGTGGAAGAAGAGTCCGCCTTTGCTGTATAAATGCCCTGAGAGCCAGGAGGCAGCTGGTGCAAAACCAGGGACTGGTCACTGGAGGGGCCCCTTAGCCCCCCTGCTCCTTCAGCGGTTCCCCTGAGGGAGCAGGGGATGCTCAGAGCAGGCGGCACACTGCGTGCTATAGGAATTTGCAGGTGTGAGACTGCAGGCAGAGGGTCTCAGGTCAGCAAGCATGACAGCACCTGCGGATGCAGTTTACAAGGGTGGCACAGTGCAGGGAGCCACAGGCTACTCAGAGAATGGATCTTCATTTTTCTTAGAGTCAGCTGTTCATTCTGAGCTGTTGAGAATGTACAGAAAGGTGAGGAGCCAACAGCACATACACCCCTCACGCCGAGTGGGGAGCTGCAGCAGGGGCCATACTGGCTTCTGTGGTTCCAGCTTTGGGGGGAGGCAGTGGTTGCTGCCGCCCACCATGGACCACCCTGCCCTCCTGCCACAGCCTCGGTGCTGACTGGATGTGTCTATGCCGGCACGTGCAGCCCAGCCTGTTCAGAAGCCCTGGAACATCCCGCTGTTGAGTGAGCTGCGGGTGCAGATACCACACAAGCCTGGCCATCTGCCCAGGGACGCAGGGCTTGTCCAGGTGGTGGCCCTGCCAGCAGCACCATTCATAATTTTGTTTTCTGAGCTTTGCAGCTGTGAGTAGTGGCAGGGCTCCTCCTGAGGTCTTCCTGGGGTCTCATGTACAGGGATGGGCCTGGCTGGGATGCTCATGCCACTTTGCCAAGAGCCTGGAGACCCGACAGTGTGGCCTGCAGGAGCAAGGCCTTCTCTCCCTTCCACTGACCGCTTCTGTCTGCGGTTGGTTTCAGGAGGATTTGCTGAGGACGTGAAAGGGAGAGTAGAGAATCTTCTCGGGATTTCAAGCTCAGAAGCAGCAGATGCTGTGAGGTAATCGCACCCTCCCCATTGGTCCCTCCCCTCCCCTGGGGACACCATTCTCAGCCCAACTCTCTGGCAGTGAGGAAGCCGGCTCTTTCCCTGGCAGTGACATTCATGCCCTCGTCACCCAAGTCAGCCTCCACTTGTGCAGCTCCGTGGATGCACTGCTGGAGAGGAACAGGTGAGCAGACCTTGCGCCCTGCTGGTTTCCTTCCTCACAAAGGCTTTCTAGGGAGAAGCAGTTTTTTGTCTTTTGAATTTTGTTTAACAGTATCCTGCTGTAAAGCCGAGGCTGGCCTTCCACTTGAAATCCTCCTGCTTCAGTTTCCTGAGTGAGAAATATAGCTTCTTAAAATTTCTACTAAGCCAAGCACAGTGGTACCACACATGAAGCTAAAGTAGAATCATGAGTTCGAGGCCATTCTGGTGACATAGTGAGTTCAAGGACAGCCGGGACTTCATAGTGAAATCCTATGTAAAAAAATAAGAAGAAGAAACATGGCCGGGCGCTGAGGCACATAGCTGGTGATCCCAGCACTCCAGCCTCCAGCAAGGGAGGCTAAAGCAGGAGATTATAAGTTTGAGCCCCGTCAGGGCAACTTAGCAAGATCTTGTCTCAAAATAAAAATGGGTACAAAGGCCCTAGGTTCAATTTCTAGTACCAAAAACAAAAAACAACAACAAAAAAAGATTAAGTTTACGCAGGCTGTCGCCATGAAGCACCCATGCTGTTAGCTGCTATTGGCCTGCATGCTCACCTGTCTGCTCGGCCCTAGGTATGTGACCGGCTGGTTCAGCCCCTACCACCGCAGGCGGAAGCTCATCCACCCAGTCATGCTACAGCACATCCAGCCCGAGGCATTCAGGTGAGGGCCACCCCACCCACCACAGGCCTGCCCAGCAGCCGTCTCCTCTCATGGTCACTGACTGCATAATTGGGGTTCAGCCAAGACACTTCCTAGGGTTGCAGCCTGAGGCCTTTGATGGATCCAGTGTGCCCCCTAATACAGCCCCTGACATTACTGAGCAGCTTGGCGGTTCCTAGCCTAAGAGGAGAATAGCACCCACATGTTCGGCAGGCCTAGGGTCCATCCTGGCCCTGCTGCACCCAAGGGACCCTGGCCAAGAGCCCTTGTGTCCTTGAGGCTGGAGTCCAAGGCTGCCTTTGCCTCCTCTCCTGGTTGAAGGCTGTGAGCTGAGCCTAACAGTGTCCCGTGCTGACAAGATGCTTCCCACGGTATACTGTTCACATGCCACCAAGAAAACTGCCAACCAAATGTAAAGTGCATCCTGGTCGGATGCTGCAGTGTGCCATTGCACCCACCTTTTTGTCCCAGTGGGTAAACTGAGGCACGGGACAGTGCTAGTGCTGACCCATGGGGCTGACACCAGTGTTGCAGGGACCTCCACAGCAGAACAGTTCACAGCCCTGTTGCCCTCAGCCTCCTGGGCAGGTGGGCCGTGCTGGTGCAGCAGCTGGAGGCAGCTCTGCAACGCGTCTTCTACCCCGACGCTGTGGAGGAGTGGCTGGAGGAGAACGTGCACCCCAGCATGCAGCGGCTGCAGCACCTGCTGCAGGACCTTGGGGAGGCTGCAGCACCCCTACCTGCACTCTCAAACCCTCGCAGAGACACAGGCCAGGACCCCAAGGGGCTCCTTCCACGGCTGGGGTGCAGTGCTGTTAGCCCGGGGGGTACAGGCTGAAGCAAGCTGCACATCAGCTGCATCCGACACTTTCGTCCTGCTGCACCAAGAAACCGCAGTGCAGGCAGAACCTTTGAGAGCACAGCAGGCAGCACTGAAGGAAAAGGCGCATGGAACGATTCACTTTGTGCATGTAGAACTTTACTGAGTCATTTGAAATAAAGACAGCACAGGCTTCAAGTCCTACTAAAAACCTTGAGTGAGATTCTTCGATGGCACCCTGGTTTGCAATGGGCTTCTCTCCCCGGCTCAGGAACGAGGTCAGCCTCATGGGCCCTAGAGGGAGGGCCACAAATGCACCCTGTACCCAGGGGCTGGGCTCGCGAGCAGCTGCTCCTCCCTCCTGAAGCATCTGAGCATGCAGAGGCTGGATGTGGTGGTGCACACCTGTAGTGCTAGTTACCCAGGAGGCTGAGGCAGAAAGATCAGAAATTCAAGGCCAGGCTGGGCATCTCAGCAAGACCATGTCTCAAAACTGAAAACGTGTCTAGGGATATGCCTCACTGGTAAAACACAATTGCCCAGCATTTGTAAGACACTTGGTGTAATCCCCAATATCTAGCCCACAGGCTGATGGGCTAGAAACCAATTGCTATATTTCACTGTTCTTTTTAGGAAAGAAAAACATCCCAGATTCAGCCATTTAAACCAACAGTGGCTGTGTTTATTTTTGGTACCGGGGATCGAACTTGGGCCCTTGTCCTTGCAAGACAGGTGGCAGAACCAGAGTCAAATCCCCAGCCCTGGCTATATATTTAAAGTACCATTGTTTCCCAACTCAGGACTAAGCATCCTGTCCAGCCCAGGGTGCAGTGGCCTCAGACCTGTCTGGGTGACACTGTGGCTTCCCAGTTCTTCCCACCTGTACCTATGTGCACAGCCTTGTGGGTGCTGACCAGGGGCCAGAAGTCCACAGCTCTCAGGCATGGGGCCAGGCTGGGCACTCAGGGTGGGGTGGCTCCCAGCTTCTGTGACCATTGGCTGCAGCCAGGAGCTGAATATGCTCCTGCAAGTTCCAGAGCTCAGGTGGATGGAGCAGGGTCTCTGCAGAAAAGCTCCTGGTCTTCACATGCCACAAGATGCTAAAAGGAGTGACTTCTCCTCTGCCCCAGCCAGGGAGGGAGATGGCCCTTCTGTGGCCTGTAGCCATGCCACAGTGTCCTGGACTGAGACAAGCATCTGGGAAGGCAGCTGGTAAGTTTATTTCCCTGGCATCAGCAAGGGAGCCAGGTCCTCAGGGTGGGGCGGCCTGAGTGCCACATCCCGCACAGCCCACGTGCCCAGGCATCTTGCCCAGGGTCAGGTCCACCCTCAGGGAAGCCCCTAACCACTGAAGATGTCCAATCAGGAAGGGCAGGACAGGCCAAAGTTTCTAAGTACAGCATGTTGGCTTGGTACCCAGAGGAGCCTGGCCCTCCCTGCAGGAACACAAGCATCATATTAGGAATGGAATGCCATGTGAGGAGCCCGGCTGGGAAAGCCTGGCATCCTTTTGTTTCAGAGGCCATAGGATGAGCTAAGCCATGCTGTCCATCATGCCCACATCCCACTGCCCAGGCCAGGGCCGCTGTCTGATTCTGGGAAAGGTGGTGTTTTCTGTGCCCCTTGGATGAAGCATCCTGTGTGCCCCCTGAGCCACAAAGCTCAGCTCTGGGCAGAATGGAGGCAGGAGTGTGAACACGTAGAGGCAGGCGGTCCACCCTCATTGATGTGGGAGTTGCAGGCGCCCAAGACCTGCCCAGAACCTTGTTACTGGCTGCTCAGTTAAGGCACTGTTGGGAGCCAGGGCCGAGGACGTGTGGGTGGCATCTACCCACGGCCACTCAGGACTGTCAGCTCTGGCTGCCAGGAATGTCAGCCTCGCTGTCACTGCTCTGAGACCGCTCTGAGGGACTCTCCAGGCGGTGCAGCTCCAGGAAGCTGGTGATGAGCTTGGCGATGGCTTCCACGTCACTGGGACCAAGAGGAAGGGCAGGTCACGGCCAGGGCGGGGCACGGCAGCAGCCAACTGACCCTACCCTCATCCCTGACCACCCAACCTCGGGGCTTCCAGACTGGCCCAGCATCTCCTGTCCTGGTGTCCTTGCCCCGCCCGTGTCTCTCTCCCTCTGCGGGCAGCATGGCAGAGCTGCCTCCAGCGTGCACATTCTTCCCACAGGTCCATTTCCCCAGTGCCGACGAGGGGCAGGCAGATGCAGTCAGGTCACCCTGCCCGCGTAGGGCCCCCTTACCTGCGGTGCCCCATGACTGCACTCTGGGTGAGGGGGTGGGAGAAGCCTGTCGAGAACCGCAGCACCACCGTGTAGCCCTTCCCAAAGTACCGGACCTTCTCTTCCTCCACATTCACATCCCGGATGTCATTCAGCGGGACCACCACTGCAGGGGCATGCAGGTCAGGGGCTGCCTCCCCCTGCCACCCATCCCACCTGCCCACATGGTGGCCTACCTGCCTGGCCCCATGACTCTCCCCACCAGGCTGAGCCTCCAAAAAAATCGGTCTGCACCCCACCCCACAGGCCAGGGCAAGTCTGGGGGACCCTGGACCTAAGCCATGCCCCACCTCCCCAGCTGCATGGTGTCTTGACTTCCACGTCTCACCTTCATCATGGCCTGCTCTGCGAAGGGTCAGCAGCTTTCTGTAGAGGCTGAATGTTTTCAAAATGACCTTCCCAGTGCTTTTGTTGAAGATGGCTTCCTGGAAACCAACATGCAATGACCACACAGACCCACAGCAGAGCAGATGCCCAAGGGGCCTTCCCAGTCGGAGCACAAGCCACCAAAGCCCCCAGTGCTGCCCACCAGAACCCAGGTTCTGCGATCCAAACCCAGGACTGCCAGGCATCAGGGCAAGAGTGGTGGGTAAAGCAAGTGGCTTCTCTGCATCAGGACAGGATGGCGGGGGGTGGGGGGCACAGGACAGTGGTCAGAAGTCAGGAGCACATGCCAGGAAGCCTCAAGGACTCCCAGGGGCAATGCAGGCAGGGAGAAGGGGCTGGCTGTGGGAGGGTGCAGACTCACGCCCTGTGTGCCACAGCAACACCCAGAGTAGAAAACTTCAGTGAGAACAGTCATCAGGAGTTTCTGGGAGATTCCTGGGCCCAGGGTTGGCCATAGACAATGCCCTGGAGCTAAGTCCAGCTGAGTAGACACCTCTGAGCTAGGAAGAACACTCCAGGACAGGGACAGGGCTTGGGCTGCACTGCCTTACCTCCCAGTCCTCCAGATTCTGCACAGCCACGAACAGGCAGCCTGTGACATAGAAGAGCTTCCAGCCCAGACTATCTGCAGGAGAGACAGACGCTGGCCCATGAATGAGGAGGCAAAGGCAACATGCCACAGGAGCCCAACATGGCCTCTTCCCCAGACGCTGGACACGGGCAAGGAGCAGCAGCCAGGGGCCAGACTGACTCTGCTCCTGGGAGTCCTGCTGGGAGGCAGTAGCTGAGGTGCCTGCTGATCTCAGCAAGCTTGCAACAGTGGGAAGCCCTGAGCCTGGCTCCTCCCTGCAGCAGGATCCTAGGCAACCACTAGAGCCTCTTTCAGAGAATATTTTATGACACAGGGTACTACTTGAGATCTAGAAGAGCAGGCTTGTGGGCACTAGCCACCCAAGGCCATGCCACAATCACTCACAAATGAGTTTTTCCAAACAGGTAAGGAAAGACAGTGTCCTTTACCTCCACTGTAGTAGGCAGCAGCCAGCCCAGTCGACAGGATTCCTGTAGGGAGATAGGAAATGCCTTGCTACTGAGCCCCCAGAAGTCCCACCGCCCCACTGCAGGAAAACTGTGTTCTGGGGCACATTGGGCAGAGACCCTCCCTCCCCTTTTTACAGGGAAAAGAGCCAGGGCATTTGTACACATTGCAGTATACACAACTGGAGCTTCCCAGAAACCCTTGAAGGACCCAGAGGCAGGTAGCACCCCATAGCCACAAGGAGGAATGAAGACTGCCACAGGGAATCCATGGGGCACACAGCAGTCTGCAGGCGACGTGTGCCAAAGGACTGCACCCTGAGTGGCTGCTGCAGGCAGAGCCAGCACCTCACGCTGCACCCAGCCAGTCAAGGCACCTGCAGCTGTCCCTGAGGGCACAAGACCCTCCCAGCAGGCAGATGGCAGATGGAGGCAAGGTATCAAGGTATGTTTTACACCCTATGGTGACCTCGGGGAAGAGGAGGAAGAAAATCACACAGAACACACAGTGTTAAAGCAACAGACAGGCATTATCTGTAAGCCCTCATGCATGGGAGAAAATCTAACACCCCCCCCAAAAAGGTGTATTTTAGGGTAGAACAAAAGAGAAAAATGTTCATTTTGTTTTCATCCTTTTAAGACTTTCCTTTCTGAGGAACATTTGGAAAGACTTACCAACCAGCAGGGACCACGACCGGATGCCTGGAGCCCTCTTCAGATGCAGGCAGGAGCTGGTTCGGGTCTCCACCTGCATGTACATCCTGGAAGTGTCTGGACTGGCTGTGGATAGGGGTGGGGGTCAGCCACAAGCTGGAGCCCTGGGGCCTCATCTGGCCCAGGAGCTGGGACTCCTCTCTGGTGGGGCCAGTCCCACTTCCTTCCTGAGGAGCTTCCCCAGCTCAGGTATTCGGGCGCCCTGGGGCCACGCCGCCCACACAGCCTCGTGTTGGCCTCATCCTCCCTCCCCTGTCTACATGTCCTACCTGGAAACCTTAGTCTTGCCAAAGCCATCAGCCCCCAGCCACCCTCAAGCTGTCCGCACGGGGACCCACCAGAGCCCCTTTCCCCTGGGGTGGCCTCCCGTAAAAAGGGGAACTGAAAGCGCCATCGTGGCTGAGACCGCTGTAGGGACGGAGATCGGCTCGC